TTTTAGAGAAAATTCAAGGCGATTTCTCACGTGCCCTAAAAAAATTGCCTTGCCCTTCTCACCGCTTAATTCGAGCCCTGAAATCCATGTTTAACCCTCCTCTTGAGGGTCAAAAGGTTATCCGACACTTACTCTTCGCATGTCAGCAGAAAGTACATTTCATGGTCCTTTCAATAAAACCATAAAAATGCTAGGTCACCGCTAAAACAAAAAAGTTTTTCAATCGCTCCGTCAGACCATGTCTTCAGAAAATCTCTAAAATCTGCCCTGTGCCCATTGACCTGTGACCTCCAATTTCGGCACAGTGATGGCTTTTCCTAACTCTGACTATCACTACCACGAACACTGACTATCACGAGCCTAGGTCAAGCCGTTTAGATTTGTGCCGCAATTCTGCATTTCCTCCCTATACCTTAAGCTAAGGAGGGAATGTTCCCCCTTCTTTTACACCTCTTGACCTTTGACCCCCAGCTTCGACATCCCAAATCGTTTTTAGATTGGCAGTGGCTACGGGTACGGTAGCCATATCTTAATGTCTCGAGGCTACGGGTACGGGAGTACATTCGCTTTCATACTTAACGAGACAAAGATGGCGGCGGTGGCGCCAGATTTCGAAATAACGCCTTGAGAAATAAATTCACAATTTGAGAGTTTAGATGAGCTAGAACCCTAACCATAACCCTAAACCTAACCCTAACGCCAAAAAGGGGCTTCAACGACCGACGGCTACCGTACCACCAGCCACTGCGTTTTAGATTACCCCCCCACGTCCCGAATATCGTGACCGTACGTCGAGCGGTTAAGATTTGTGCCCAACTGTTGACGGACGGACAGCCGGACGTACGCACAATCATGCGATTCTACAAGCTGCATCTGACTATGTCAGATGAGCTAAAAAGTAGCCCTCAAAATGTCAAAGGTAGCCCCTTGAAAATGAAAAAAGAAGCCCCCAAAAATTTTTGACACCTAGAAGAAAGAGCCATTGAAAAAAATTGTTTCCCTGCATATCTGTATCAAGTATTTTTTCACACATTATATTGTATGGATGTTTGAGACTTCATCAAGTTATTTCTGCATCATAATATTCAGGAATCACATAGTACATATATCGGCTCAAGTAAATTATTTAACAGTTACACATATAGTAAAAGTAAAATCATAGAATAAGTATTACCATCAGCAAATGGGTGGTCTTTTTCTACCTCAACATCCCAGTTCTCCTCTTCCACATATGGTATTGGTGTGCCTATAAAATGTATGAATAAAGTAACCTATATATACAATTTTGCTAAATTAATTATTGTTCAGTATTTTTTCCCAAAATTTCCCAAAACACAGAATTGCACAAGTTGATGATTATCGCATTAGGTTTATCGCATTTAGGTTTTAACTATATTTTGCATAGCAGCTTCATTACCACATCTATTTTCATCATGGTCTGATTCATACAATCCATCAGATTCATCATTGGAGACATAATCTAATCCTTGGTCTATTTCTAAAGATGGCAGATCATATTTCATCTCTGTTTCTGCATCGTCATGCGGGTGATGTTCTGACTCCATCACAGTCTGCACATCGGTCCAATGCTCACCTATATTAACCTTGGAGAATGAATATTTAGAGATATTAGACAAGTGCCGCGGAGCGACAGCGCTCATCTAACGTCTACTGCGGTGACTCTGTGGTGGAGTGGTGGGATTCTAGTAAATCCTGTTAGTCCCAAATGTGATCACATACGCGCCGAAACAGTGGATGGTATCAGGAACCTTCTCGAAGGAATGTTCGTTGGGATCGTTATGAAAGTTGCCACGAGATGGCGCGTACGTTTAAGTGTCTTAAGATTAAAGATGGAAGCTCCCATCGTACGTAGTAGCAACAACTATTTGCAAGACAGAATATTATAGGTAAGCACTCATCCATTTACCTACGCAAGCCTACAGGCTGAAATAGAAAGCTGCCACCTGTAACTATTTAACGCAGGCAAAAACTACACAGTACTATCACCACCACATGCACTGGCAGTGGCCACTGGCAGTGGAATAAGTTACATGTAACACACTAACAGTACAGAATGCCATAGAAATTATACGATTTAAGGAGCATAAACCTTCTTCAACCAAATTTAGCTTTTGAAATTTCACTGTGACATTGTAGCCTCATACATCTTGACCTGTGACGTACGCATTCCCAATGCGCATAGCGTTCAGCTAACTTTGTCATGACGTCACGACTGACAGCAGGCATCAAATGATACATTCGATTTTGGAGTCGAAGTTAGCCGAACGCTATGCGTATTGATAGACTCCTGACCATATCAGATAGTTACCAGGGTACGTTCCGGCAGTACCCTGGGGGACATAGACCCTATGAGCAGCAGTAACGGGGAGTGTACTATTCGATACATGTAGCTGTTGAGATAAATGCTTTTTAAAACCAGTTGCTTACAGTGGGGAAGCCTTTAGTATTGATAGAACAAACCTGAAGATTGTGCGACTACTACAATAAGATTATAGAGGCAGTGTCTGTATTGTAAACTTGTAATTTATAGCTGTGACTCGTTTGATTTTCGCGTTTTGGTTCTCTGCATGGTGATTTTAACCTAGAGTGTGCCTGTCATTTGATCATACATGTTATCAGAAGTAGATAATAGGGAAGGAGTGTGACTTCAATAAACATGGGAAATTTGTCGTTTACTAGCCTTAGAATACCAGGGTTCTCTCTACGTTGCGCAAACCGCGCGCGCCCGCCCCGTTTGGGAAGACTCCCCCCACGTTTCAATCGTTGCGTCCCGTTTAAATTACCTTCGCCCCGATTAAATTTCACAATAAAGGTTCCACAATAAAGGTTTGACAGCGTGGGAATCGTCAAGAATTGCCATTCGACCAGGCCCCGGACGCGTGTATTTTTACGGTACCACTAATGAGTAAACGTCCTACACTACGCATGCACTGCAGACCACACACAAGTACAAACAGTCACCCTGTCCCAACCTTAACACAAACTGTACCGACTCGGCTGTCTTATATACAAGTACCCCAAATACCGTCTATGGTGTGGTGGCGATTTTATGCATTACGGTAAAAAAAAACACCCCCGGACCCCCCTAGTTTCCCATCCTCCCTCCCCCTCCCCCTGTTTCAATTTCATCCTGGGGAGAACCCTGAATACCTACGATTTACTACGCGTATCTCAACCAACTTGAGCTCAAATCGTACACAGTACATTCGCCTAGCATCGTGCGAAATCGTTTCCTCGTATACACCTGCAATCCGGAGATACAGACTAAAACGTACGGCACGATTCTCCATTCTGTTGCCAGCAAAACGAATCCATAACCCGCCTAACTTGAAACAATAGACAGCTACTAACGACTCTTGCGCACTCTTGTGCCCTCGGCGATGCTGTGTGGCTCGCTGGGAGATTGGACATCGATGCAACACTTGGCAAGCTAATCTTTGACCAGCTCCAGCTCCAATTGCGGGTGTATACGAGGAAACGATTTTGCACGATGCTAGGTGAATGTACTGTGTACAATTTGAGCTCAAGTTGGTTGAGTTACGCGTAGTAAATCGTAGGTATTCTAAGGCTAGTAAATGACGAATTTCCCATGTTTATTGAAGTCGCACTCCTTCCCTATTATCTACTTCTGATGTTATCTGATGTTCATCTGATTTGTTAGTGTTTACTTACAATTATGCTTATATATATACTTCTTCTGCACAGGACAGTTTTTGCCGGTCTTCTCTATACCTTGCAGTAATGATAATGTTGTAAAACCAACATTTTAAGATGGTTCTTCTGAAAGGGCAGCGGTCACTTGGTAAATATGTAGCTGACGATAGTACAGCCGCATTTTTCCATGGTGCAGGCAGCGTAGAGAAGTGATTGAAACTTGCTTGAAAATCGAAAGCATGGTTGAATGATTCATGAGGCGACGTTAGTCAGCCTGATAGGGTCTATGTCCCCCAGGGTACTGCCGGAACGTACCCTGGTACTAAATACTACTATCTAATATGCCAGACCGTACCTCGCCTACTCCACTAACGAGTCTAGGGAGTCGCCTACGCCTACTCCTTAACCCTAACCCTAACCCTAACCATATCAGCTAGATAGTTACCAGGGTACGTTCCGGCAGTACCCTGGGGGACATAGACCCTATGAGCGTTAGTCAGCCTGAAGGCCAGCTCGCATTGCGTGTAGCCTAGGTGTTGTGACCTAACTTACTCCTTGACATATCACCAACTAGATTAGTTGATGATTGAGTTAACTTGTATCAATTTGTAGTGCCAGAAGATGAGAGTAATCGTATATAGGTTCTTAATCACAGCAAAGTTTTGGAAAATGGACAATTCATTTTGTAGGTATAAATCAACATGAAAGTCTCTTCCTTTATATTATTTATAGCCTAACAGTTTATGCTATAAAGGGTTGCTAATTATATTTAGGCTTGATGATTTACATCTCATCATTTTTACTAATTAACTGGAACATTAGCGTAAGAAATGAAATTACTATTATCTGGGGATATTAAAATTAAATGTAAAAAAATGCGTAAAGTGAAAATTAAGTGTGCAATTAGCCTTGACTGTAATTATGTGTAGAAAACAACAATTAGCAGATTGTTCTGTATGTAAAACGTTCACTTTATTTTCAAAATGGGACAATTTGAAATTTAAAACTGTACAAAATTATAAAAACGTACATCCAGTTTGAGATTGCTAGCAGGGAAACTTCAATGTTACTAATGTTTAATCCTCCATGGTTGATATAAATCTTTATAGCTAAAACACGTGTAGATACGGTTCAGATGTAAAATTATCCAGTGGAGCAAGATATCGTTTTACGGAAAATCGGTTGTCTTCATAAAATGTTTGGAATCTACCAACTACTAATTTTGGTAGTTAAAACACCCGTTTCCAGGATATCTAAATCTAATGGCTATATCCAGCGTACGTGACTCAGCGTTGGCACCAGCTGCCTCTCCTGTCTGCTGCGATGTGTCACGTTACTATGATTAATCGGATCTGTTCTGTCTCTGTAGGTCAGCAGTGCACCTGGGAGCCAAGGCGGGAGCACATGCACGCACGTCGCGCGGGACAGCGCCAGCAGATCATAGTGGTAAATAGCTGAGGGAGGAGGAGGAGCAAGGCATGATCGCATTGCATTTATAACCGTAGATAAAAATCTAGTACATGTAGTTGGCAGAGCGGCGGCGGCGTGCGGTAGGGGGCGGCGGCAGTGGCGACACCTGGTGGCCGCGATGAAGCGGTTTGCATTCGGACGCGTACTCGACGGCATTCGCTCGTCGTCGAGCTCCAGCACGCAGCAGAGGGAGGCCAGCGAGCCGGTCGAGGAGAAGCTCAAGCAGGAGCACTTCGAGGTCGCCGACCTCGTCAAGTATGGCTTCCCGTTCCGGCCGACGGCGATGGCGTACGACCCCGTGCAGCGCCTCCTGGCGATCGGCACGCGAAACGGGTCGGTGCGCATCTTCGGGCGGCCGGGCGTCGACTGCGACGTGCGTCACGAGTCGGAAGCATCCGTCATCCAGATGCTGTTCCTCGTTAACGAGGGAGCGCTCGTCAGTGTCTGCGCCGACGACAGCATCCACCTGTGGAACCTGCGACAGAAGACGCCCGCGCTGCTGCACTCGCTCAAGTTCAGCCGCGAGCACATCACTCACTGCTACCTGCCGTTCCGCAGCAAGTGGCTGTATGTGGGCACGGAGCGCGGCAACGTGCAAATCGTCAGCGTCGCGTCGTTTCAGATCTCCGGCTACGCGATCAACTGGAATCGCTGCATCGACGTCGCGACGAAGACGCACCCGGGCGCGATCGTGCACCTCAGCGACTCGCCCGTCGATCCCAACCGGCTGCTGATCGGCTATGAGATGGGCCTGATCGTGCTGTGGGACCTGCGGGCGAAGCAGCCGGAGGCGCGCTACGTGTGCCACGACGCGCTGCGCTCGGTCGCGTGGCACCACGACGGCCGCCAGTTCCTTTGCAGCCACTACGACGGCAGCCTGTCGACGTGGGACGTGCGCAGTCCGGGCAAGGCGGCGGCAGTCGCGTACCCGCACACGGCGTCGTGCGACTCGAGGCAGGAGCGCTGCAAGCCGATCCTGAAGGCCGAGTGGCGGATGGCGCGCGGCGGCGAATCGTACGTCGTCTTCTCCGGCGGGCTGCCGTTCGAGCGGCCGGGCCGCGTGCCGTGCCTGACGGTGATGCGCGGCGGCGCGACGACAGTGCTGGAGATGGAGCACGGCATCGTCGACTTTGCGTGCCTCTGCGAGACGCCGCACGCGTGCGACTACCAGGACCCGTACGCCATCGCCGTGCTGCTGCACAATGACCTCGTCGTGCTCGACCTCACCGCCGACGGCTACCCGTGCTTCGAGAACCCGTACTCGCACGACGTGCACGAGTCGCCCGTCACGTCGGTGCTGTATGTCGCCGATTGCCCGACCGACCTCGTGCCCGCGCTCTACAAGATCGGGCAGCGGCAGAAGAACGCCGGCTTCAGCCGTAGCGCGTGGCCGATCACGGGCGGCGTCGAGGCGTCCGCGTCCTCGTGCAGCTACCCGGAGGTGATGATCACGGGCCACGCCGACGGCTCGGTGAAGTTCTGGGACGCGTCGTCG